TGTGTTTTTGTAAAAGACATGTGTTAGAGAGATTGTCAAGAGCATCGGCTCAGGTATGCTAAGGCTATCCCTTCTTTCTTTTGGCATTATCAAAGTAACTGTCACACCTCCTTTTTTACCACCCGAGAGGGATATATAAGGGAGTTTTTCCAATTAAAGTGACATTATTCGAAATGAAATTATTTATTTAATTTTAGAGTCGCCACTTGGAATAGCTTAATTGGTGTCCCAAGTCACCAGTTTATTTTAAAATCCCAAATCGAGGAAATCTCGACTTTACTTTAAAAGTCTGCGAACCAGAAATTCTAGATAAGGAATCTGTTAACCCGGGAGAAGGTATTAGGCATTCCCGGGTTCCGTGATTCTAGCACGGTCGCTTAAACTGTTAAAATTGGCCTATTATCTGATTTACTACATGTTTTAACCTATTGTGCATTTTAGCTTCTATAACTACTTTTAATTATTTTAAATCTTTTTTAGGAAGATTCAATATCGTTTAAAACACATCGTAAACCATGCTACATGAAATGCACCCGTGGTTCGCAATACGCTTTATTTAACATTGTTGAGAATTGAGTCACATGAAATGTACACCCAGATTTTAGTAATTAAAAATCACAACTGCGTCACGGAAACCGTACCCGTAGTTATGATGAATTATTTAAATAACGCGCCCAAAGCAACTAAGAAGATTCAATTTTCAATAGCAACATTTGCGAGGGCCATGAATGATTTAATTTATTTATGGCACACCTCAAACCTTTTTCTATAAGTGTTAGTTCTTGAATCTAATCTTATGAGGGCCATGGATTATAAATTTTGTTTGGCATGGCACGCCTCAAATTATTCCAAAGGGTTTTATTATTCGAAGTTGTTATAAACGGGTTACATGAAATGCACACCCGAATTTTGAAATTAGGCATCGTAACTATGTTACGAGAACCGTACTCATAGTCACAATGGTTTATTAATCGCGCTTAAAGTAAGCTACGGATGTTCAAAGTGTTTTAATAAAACTAATTTGGGATTATTGTGAGGCTATAGATTGTTGACCCTGTATTGTGAGCCAAACTTGATAGACACAACTTTCTACCATATTACAATTGTGGTTAGTTATAAACTTGAAACGTAGAAGCAAATAAGATTAACTTCAGCAAATTAAGGGCCTAAAGAACCAAAATCCACTGACATGAGTAATGGTCTTTGAAGATAGTCGAAGCAATAAAACAAAGAAAATATCAGTTGCATGCTTGTGCCCGTAACAGAGGAAGCTTGAGGAGACATTCCAACAGAGGCAGGTGATGATACCTTTAAATTACTAATTTTCAGTTCCAGTCAAAATAGAGGCTGCGCAACTTTTAATTTCTTTGAAATATACCAATTAGATGTTCCAAGGATGTACATTACTAAATAAAGGAAATCTATTATTGCTTCTACAGTAGCAGTTTTTTCCTAGTATATTAACTCTTCGTTTACTGGCACTTGATACATCTTGTGAAATGTTAAATTAAAGCGTGATGCCTATATTTAGCTTTAACATAACAAGGGAATACATAGAGTGGCAAACAAAGAACAAAAAGAGAAGTGCCGAAAAGGCAGAACTGCTCAAGATATTCTATTACTCTTCTTATCATAGAAGTAAGCAAAAACATAAAATGCCGTAATCAATAACATAATGATAAAATGAAAATGGGAAAAATAAGTATCTCATCAAAACAAATTGGTATAAAATGAACTTTTTCGTAATTACGTGACAATGAATCTAACAACACGATATCATGAAATGAAAGGTAGAAATCAACCAAATGAGTCAGGCAGTAATTACGAATTAACACAAGCAATTACAGATTTAGGAATATGTACCTAATACCTGAATCACAAGCTGAAATGGCCGAAAACCAAGCAGAAATGAGAACGACGGGATCCGGCAAAACAGTAGCAACAACAATTTTCAGCAACAATAGTCCTTTAATAGCTCGATCTTTTTATATATGAGATTACAAAGATGGAAACTCGGCAATAAATCTCGAGCAAACATGGACCGGGAACGGGGAACTCGAAAATCGCTGAAAAACTCAAATCTCTTCAACCCAAACTCAGAAATTCTAGCCAAACACATGAGGGAATTCGAGGCCAGCTCTAGCAGTAAGGAACGCTATTCAGTGACATCTTCAAGAACCATATTAACATAAACATCAAAGCCTCTAAGGGTACCAACTAGCTCCTTGTCACCCTTCATTATCACCCATATCTTAGAGCCAATGCAACGATCAATCAACTCAGATGAAAGAAAGCTGAGAAGGGTTGTTTGTAGATATTGTGGGAGATTTCATAAAGGTTTTTCTTGCTCTTTAGCTCACAGAACTCGACGATCGACGATGGTAAGCTGAAAAGCTTGGAAAATTTGACTGTAGGGACTTGGGGTGTGTTGGTGTGAGTGGCGGATTCTTTTAATTGGGAAGGGGTCAAAACGGTGTCGTTTGATTTGAAGGCAAAGCGACCGCGTTAGGCCGTGGTTTGGGCCGGATCTGGAACGGGTTTGGGGGAAATTCGTTTGGGCTGTGACAAATTGGCCCAAAATCAACAACCTTTTCTAATTTTCTTTCTTTTTTCCAATTTCCATTTTTTTTTCTTTTTCAAATTAATTAACAAACCCAATTAACTCTTAAATTAAAATAATTTACCAAATTAAGCTAATTACTCATCATAGTATTTACAAAAATTAATTAACTCCTAAATTAAAAGAAGAACTGCAAAATTTAAAATTAAAAGGTTAAAAATGCAAAGTGAGTCACTTTTTGTGATTTTTTCATTTTTATAAAACAACTAATTTACTAATTAACCTAACAATCTAAAAATAAATCCTAAATGCAAATGCAGAGTATTTTTGTATTTTTCATGATTTAAATAAAAATTAAACATGCACAGAAAAATACAAATAGTTAAGAAAATTCTACAAAAATTCCTAAAATGGTAAATAATTAAAAGAAAAAAAACCTATTTCCTTGGGATTCTGTAGGAGTATTTCATATAGAGCAAAAATCACATGCTCACAGTAACGATACGTAAACGCAATGCTATTCGATAAGTGGTTCTACTCTTAGCAGTTAAGGATGTGTATGTTATTCATTCTGGTAAAGTGATATTCAAGCATGTCTAAGTATGTCCCTAAGTTCCTATTGAGGTATATGATAGAGATGTTAATATTTATAATATAGTGATAAATGCATCTTCATGCATTTACCAGCGTGTTACGGCCGATCGAGCAGTTACCACCGGTTGGGCAATTATGTATCATTATTTACCATCGGTTGGACAGTCATGCATATTCATTTACCACTGAGCTACAGCCAGTTAGGAATTCATGCATATACCACCGAGCTATGACCGGTTGGGCAGTTACATATTTACCACCGAGCTACGGCCGGTCGGGCAGTTACCACTGATCAGTTGGGCAGTCATGCATCATAAGATACGAATAATAGTCTCAAAGAGAAGCATTATATATATAAGTATAATAAGTATGCATATACGGTGAACTTCAGAGATTCAGGTTGATTCTTATATGTCTTTAATTAATATTGACTTATTGTTATGCTTCAGTTCCGCCTTACATACTTAGTACATTATTCGTACTAACGTCTTTTTGTTGGGGATGCTACATTTATGCCTGCAGGTATAGATAATCAGTTTGACGACTCCTCATAGTAGACGAGATTGGCATTCTGTGAAGGATCGATAAGACTCCACCTCATTCGGTGTGTAGCCGAGTCTATAAGTCATCGTGTCAGAGTTTTGCTACAGACTTATGGGTAGGTCAGTACCCTGTCCCATTTGATGTCAAATAATCTTAGAGGCTTTGTAGACAAAGGTTCATTTTGTACAGTATCTCAGAGGCCTTGACTGCCCATATGTTTTCATGTTTTAGGAATAATGGTTCATTGATACAACGCTTGCTCATTTATAGTTGTACATTAAAAGTTGTGTCCATGTTGGCCCATGATAGTTACAAAAACAAATGAGTTACAGAGTGGTTCGCTCGGGCCCGTGCGACACCGAGTGCCAGCCACACACCTTCCTAGGTTTGGGGCGTGACAGCTATAATAACAATTTAGCCACAATAAATAATTTACAAGAAATGTTGACTAAAAAAATATATTTTTTATTCATGTTATAAATAATTGTAGCACTAGTTTGCATAATAACTATAGTTATTTTTTATGACAAACTAATATAGCCACAAAGTTTGGAGAGATAATAAACTCCGCTAGCTAGTTATAACTTTTTGTTATGCACTTACCATATCAACAACAATAACAACCCAGTATAATCTCATTTAGTGGGGTCTGGGGAGGATAGTGTGTACGCAGACCATATCGATAGTATTATTTAACCACAATAAATAGTTAAATAAATATTATTCTTTGATTACCAAAGTCATTACAAGAGCTAATCCAAAAAGAAAATAGAGATAAATTAGAAATAATGAATTTTAAACATAAAATTAGATTTTTTCTAAAATATAAACTATTTAGTAACTGTATTTAATCAAAGAATTTACTAATTCTCAAATAACAAAGTTTAAAATATAAAAAATAATCTTAAATAATAGAGCAGTATATTTAAGATCTCAAAGCTTATCAACTGATTCCTTGACTTATCAAGCTCATATTTTATGATTTTGTACGTAACATTAAAATTTGTAATAATAGTAGTAGAGATATTTATGTAAGTTTGGTCTTTTATTATTTTTAAATAGGTATTTAGAGTAATTTTTTCCGGTAAAATTAACACTCTATTTAACCAAAAAGTTCAATACAATACAGGAACTGGTGACCAGTTCCTTTACTCTGCTTGACAACTAATTACTCTACTATAACCTATACAAGGTTTTGATTTCAACTATAACCTATACATATCCTAGTGCCCATACAATCTGCAACACAGACGAATAGACATTACATTTGACAAAAACATATAAGCTAAATTGTCTAAGGAATTCAGTCCAATGCCTCCAAATGCTTCTGCCAGCTGAGATATGAGTTGCCTCTGATGTGTATATGGATTGCAGTTTCTCTATACATTCTATCCAGGAACGAGCTGCCACTCTGAAATCTGATCTTATTCATATTTCGCCATATGAGATATACCATCATCCCAAAGACGGCTGAGACAATTGTCCCAAATCCTTTATTTTTCCTAGCACATGTTGTCACCCATTTCACCCCTTCCTGACATGTATTTATCTGCCTTGGACAACTAAGCCAATTCAGTAGTCTTTGCAAGATATTCTTCGTATAGTAACAACCAAAGAATAAGTGTTCAAAGTATTCGTCAGCTAGGCCACAGAATACACAAGCTTGAGGAACTTGAATACCAATTTTCTGTAGCCTCTCAACAGTAGGTAGTCTATCCTGTACAGCTGGCCATAAGTTGAATTTGTGTCTAGGATATATATGTGGTTGTAAGATTAAGCTCTTCCAGTGCACCTTTTGGTTTTGAGGGAACTGCATCTGATATAACTTCTTGATGCTGAATCTTCCATCATTACTTTGCAATTTCATTAGTCTTGAAGTCAGGTCACCTTGCATGGTAGGTAGATCAAGGATAAGCTTCCTGAGCTCAAGAATTTTCCTCACTACCCACACTGCATTCTTGGGTATAGACATAGTATCTACAGTCTGGTTCTTGATGTAGTAAGAATGGATCCACCCGATCCAAAGGAAATCCTTCTTCTTGGTGATATCCCATAAGTGTTTTCCACTACTACTTTATTCCAGTTGTACATGTTTATAACATTTAGTCCTCCAACTGCTTGTGGCAAGCATATCTTCTCCCAAGACACCAATACTTTTCTAGAGATATCTGTTTTTCCTGTCCATAGGAAAGTCGTGCATCTGGCTTCAATCATTTTCAACACCTTCTTTGGCAATAGAAATATTTATGCCCAGTATGATTGTGTGATTACCCGGCCAGTTGACTCATGAGTTACCGCTCTGTTTTTCCCATTTCTACTTCTTATTGCTTTGTTTATCAGTTCTATGTGTGATCGGGTTGGTTGGCTCGGGTTCAGAAAGGTTTTGATAAGGTTTGAGACACTTAGTCTCTTTTGAGGAAGCTTAAGTTAGAAAAGTCAACCAGATGTTGACTTATGTGTTAAAGGGCTTGGATGTGAGTTTCGATGGTTCGGATAGCTCGGGAGGTAATTTGAGACTTAGGAGCGTGAGCGGAATATGTTTTGGAGGTCCGGAGTAGATTTAGGCTTGAATTGGCGAAATTGGAATGTTGGCATTTTCCGGTTGATAGGTGACATTTTGATATAGGGGTTGGAATGGAATTCTGGGAGTTGCAGTAGGTCCGTGGTGTCATTTGGGATGAGTGTGCAAAATTTTAGATCATTCAGACGTGGTTTGGTAGACTTTTTGATCAAAAGCGTAATTCGGAAGATTTTGGAATCTTAGGCTTGAATTCGATGTGTTTTGGTTGATTCGATGTTGTTTGAGGTATTTTGAGGATTAGTACAAGTTTGGATAGTGCCCTTCCAGCTCAGAGATCGTCCCGTGCTCCATCAGTTCAGGACTCTTTTATGCCAGGTGTATCTGCTTGTCATTCTGGTACTAGAGGTTCCCTTCAGTCCCTGTCTCTAGCACCCAGGAGTTGCTATGAGTGTGGAGAGATGGGTCATATGTGGAGGTAGGGTCCTCGTCGTCTTGCGGGTTCATCTCAGCAAAGGAGTCAACCATCGGCTTTAGTGCCAATTACTTCACCACCACCCACCCAACCAGCTGGGGGTGGAGGTCAATCAGCTAGAGGCCGTCCTAGAGGGGGAGGTCGATCAAGTGGAGGTCGGTCCCGTTTCTATGCACTTCCAGCTAGAACCGATACTATTGCTTCCGATGTTGTTAATACAGGTATTGTCTCAGTGTGCCGCAGAGATGCTTCTGTATTATTTGATCCCGATTCCACCTTTTCTTATGTGTCATCATACTTTGCTCGTTATTTGGATACGCCCTGTGAGTCTCTTGTTTCACCTGTTCATGTATCTACTCCGGTGAGCGATACTGTTGTTGTAGACCGTGTGTACCGGTCGTGTGTGGTGACTATTGGGGGTTTGGAGACCCGAGTGGATCTGTTGTTATTATGTATGGTAGACTTTGATGTTATTTTGGGCATGGATTGGCTATCTCCGTGTTGTGCTATTTTGGATTGTCATGCTAAGATAGTGACATTGGCTATACCGGGTATGCCACGGATTGAGTGGTGAGGTTTGACTGATTATGTTCCCAGTAGGGTAATCTCATTCTTGAAGGCCCAATGTATGGTTGGGAAGGCTTGTCTTCCGTATCTAGCCTTTGTGAGGGATGTCGGTGCAAAGACTCCCAGTATTGATTCTGTTCCAGTTGTGAGGGATTTTCTCGATGTGTTTCCCGCAGACCTGCCGGGCATGCCACCGGACAGGGATATTGATTTTGGTATTGACTTGGTGCCAGGCACTCATCCCATTTCTATTCCGCCATATCGTATGGCACCAACGGAGTTGAAGGAGTTAAAGGAACAACTTCAGGAACTCCTTGATAAGGGGTTCATTCGTCCTAGTGTGTCGCCTTGGGGTGCGCCGGTT